AGTATTTTTTTAGATCTCTTATTGAAGATAAGATGGTTATAGGACTGTAGGTTCAATTCTGGGTTTTCAATCCTATTTCCTTGGTCCTGAGGTCTCTTCTTGTACCAGTAACCAAGCTGGTTTGGTTACTATGGCTTTTTTGGGGGGAGGTCCGGTCATGGGTCTCAAGGCTAGTGCTCTACCACTTGAGCCACAGCACCACTTCCAGCTTTTTTCTCTTTGCTTATGTGGTGCTGAGGAATCAAACCCAAGGCCTCATGCACGCAAGGCAAGCGCTGTACCACTGAGCCACCTTCCCAGTTCTACTATGGCTTTGTAGTAGAGTTTGAAATTTGATATTGATATTCCTCCAACACTGTTCTTTCTGTTAAGGATCATTTTTGGTATTCCGGGTCATGGCTATAATCAAGAACTCTAATGACAACATATGCTGTAGGGGATAGGCCCAGAAGGAAACCCTACTGCATTGTTGTTAGGAGTGTAAGCTTGTTCAACCACTTTGGACAGTAGTATGGAGGTTCCTCAAAAGACTCCTCATAGAGCTCCCCAATGACCCAGCAATCCCATGTTTGGGTATTTACCCAAATGATCACAAACAAAACCATACTAAAGCTACGAGCACAAGTATGTTTAAGCAGCATTATTTACCATAGCTAAAATATGGAACCAACCCAGATGCCCCTCAGTAGATGAATGGATCCAGAAAATGTGGTATATATACACAATGGAATTCTATGCCTTCATCAGAAAGAATGATATTGCCCCATTTGTTAAGAAATGGAAAGATTTGGAAAATATTACATGAAATGAAGTAAGTCCGGCCCAAAGAAACATAGGTCCCATGGTTTCCCTTATTTGCAATAACTAGTATATGTTTGAGACAAGCAGAAAAGGTCAGATAAGTTGATGTTAGGTAAAATGAACCTGAAGATATGTATTCAAATGATTTTGCTTTCATGCAATTGTTTCTAACATATTTATAAGATGATTTCTTTGTTGCTTTGTATGTTCCTCCCCCACGGTATAACCCCTGCTTCACTGTATTTGATGTTGGTATAATTTGTTTAAGGGAAGGGAAAAAACAACTCAATTAAATAGAGATACAGGTGGACCCATTGCAACAATGAGATATACAAATCATTATGTCAAAAAATGAACTTTGGTGAGGGGTAATAGAGAGGAGTGTGGAAAGGGGGGACACAGGAAGGGATAGGAAGGGGAAATAAAGGAGGAGGCAACAATGCTTGATAAGAAATGTACTCATTATCTTGCCCATGTAATTGTAACCCTGCTGTACAGTATTTTCACAATAAAAAAATGCACAACGAAAACAAATAAGATCAGGGATGCCACGGGAAAAATTAGAACAAATATCCAAACATCCAAACAATTATAAATATTATTTGAAGAATCTATACTCACTAAGGAAAGAAAACCTAGCAGAATTGGATGAATATTTAGACAAATACAAATTGCCCAAAGTGAACCAAGAAGAAATAAATCAATTAAACATGCCAACATCTTACAATGAGATAGAGGAAGCAATTGAAAATCTTCCAACAAGGAAAAGCCCAGAACCAAATGGATTTACTATGAAATTCTATAAGACCTTTAAAGAGGAACTAATACCCATACAACTCAGACTCTTCCAAGAAATAGAAACAGAGGGAGCTATCCCAATCTCATCCACAAACCAGGAAAAATCCCAAAATAAAAAGAGAACTACAGACCAATTTCCCTGATGAACACAGATGAGTAAGACCTCATGGACTTTCCTACCTGGGCTGGTTTCAAATGTCAATCCTTGCACCTCAGCTTACTGAGTAACTAGGATTACAAGTGTGAGGCACAGGTGCACAGCCATTTAATTTCTTTAAGTAAAAAGATAATACAAAACATATTGAATATATTGAAATCTATTTTACAGTAGTTTGATGATGATTATTATGATATAGTTGAAGCATATTTTGCAGATATATGTTTACTCTGAGTTCTTAATAATGACTCATAAATATGCCACTATTGAAACATTAGGTATCTTCTATCCCCAGTATTTTTCCTGTTCTGAGACCTCTCATATTTTGCCACATTTGGGCCTTTGACATTACTTCTCAAAGTTCATCAGCATGAAGTGATGTGTTGATCCCAGACATGATTACTTCAACAAAAATCACTGCTACCCAACCATAAATGCCTCTGTCTTTATCCTTTCCCAGTGAGTGGAAACATCATCCCTTAACAGATAACTAATATATCCAGTTGCTTCTCTATGAGAAAAAGAGAGAGACATAGAAAAAGAGAGACAAATATAGACACACACACACACACACACACACACACACACACACACACACATACACAGAGTGAGAGAGGGAGAGTAAGAAAGAGAGTCTTGATCTCTTCTCAAGCCAGTAAAATGACCCATTGCCACAATGAGATATACAAGACATTATGTTGAAAAATGAACTTTTCATCTTTGGCCAAAGGGGAGGGGAGGAGGGCGGAAGGAGGGAAGATGGGAAAGGGAAACAAAGGAGGAGGCAACAATGCTTGATAAGAAATGTACTCATTATCTTACCCATGTAATTGTAATTCCCCTGTACAGTATTTTCACAATTAAAGAAAAAAAAAGAAAAATGAACTTTACAGCTGTGGCCGAGATTGGGGGGAGGAGTAGGGAAAGGGGGAAGATGGGAAGGGATGGGACGGGGAAACAAAGGAAGAGGCAACAATGCTTGATAATAAATATATGCATTACTATACTCATGTAATTGTAATACCTCTGTATGGTATTTTCACAAAAAAACTTAATAATAATTAAAAAGGAAAATGAGTTCTGTTAATTTTAAGACCAATGACTTTCATCCATTGGAATATGGAATCCAAATGAAACACGATTAAGGACAGGTTGCATAGTCTCGGGGTACTCTGTTCTGGTCTCCTCCCTGTGGAGGATGCAAGTACTCTATTCAAGAAAGATTCAGAGCTCTGGGGAATCCATGTGACCTGTGTATTTAGATCCAGTGAATGTGTCTCTAATTACTGTCCAGGTTTGCCTGTGGGTGTTTGTAGAACTTGACTCAGGACACAATTCTTTTCTAATACCTTAACGGTCTTGTACATTCCCAAGAGCTTTCTAGAGAGAGACTCTTTGTAATCCTAGTGATATTTGTAAGCATCTATTGACTGTACAGTTCATAAAAAATATTAGGACTGCAGTAGAAACCCCTCTTTTCAGTTTAGCTGGATCTCAACTTATATCTATTTACAATTGGTGGAGCTCAGAGTGGTGCCTGGTTTATGATCATGGAAGAAAGGGAAATCTTGAACACTTCCTAACCCAAGTTCATCCTGGATGTTAAGTTTCAGTGAATATTTGTGAAAAGATCCAAACTCATTCTTCTATATTACAAGAATACAAAGTCTGAAGTTGAAAGTGCATTGCCAGCCCAATTAAGGTACAAGAATGCTTCCTATCTGAAAAATAAAAATGGATGATGAATGGCTTATGTGTAGGAGTCAAGAAGCTTCAACAAAATAAAGATATTCTCCACTTTGTCATTCAATGTATTATACATTGTGCATCCTGTTATTGTAAAAATCTTTATAGATTTAAATGGATTTTTTTGTCTGCTTCTCTTTTTGAATTTGCATTGAAAGCATATAGATTAAAAGAATAGACTATATTTCATAAGCTTTACATTTATATGTAAAGAATTTATAAAAATTCTAAAACATTTTATAGGTGAATGAGGGCTGTGGAATGAGATTTTTCGTCACAAAACTTTGAACCTTTGATTCTGCTATATTGAGCCATGGGAGAAGGCACCAAATTTGTCCTCTCTGCTTCTGAAGTACTCTGAACCCATTTTCAACACTGCTGCTGTGGTGCTGGTCCAGGTTCCTTCTCCCTCCTGGTCTTTGGCTCTGTGAAGATGCCAATAGAGGACCATTGTGTCAAACCTCATCTTAATCTTCTTTTCTGCGGCCATTATTAATTACAAAGAAATTGGACTGAGAATTGTGTTACGATGTGAGGCCTCTTAATTCCTACCTTTACGTTCATAATTCTGAACACACACTTCAGAGCCAGCATGAGCTTCTTGAAATACTAACTTTCAAAAAGTGTGCTCACTTTTCTGATATTATCTCATTTTACCTTGTCTTTGAGATATTCTTGCTCTTGTATTTTTATATTTGTCCTGAGGAACAGTAGTATACACCTTTTTTAACAAATCAAAATTAAGTTGAAGAGGACAGACTTGCCAAAAGAATTGGAGGTTTCTATTATCCATGTAGTTGATTCCCAAGTCAGGTGGACACCAGCTGGTATATTGACATCAACCAAAACTAGGAGAGCTCTTAAGCTTCTGATCCAGGCTGGCTTGAATGAGGCAGGGGTTAGGACATTTATAACAGTTGAAGGACCATCTATAGAAATGTTTTGTTCTGTAAGCTGGATATTTGTGAACTTAGAAATTGAAATATCACTTAACACAGATGTGCTTCGAGAGGAAAGGAAGACATTGACTTGCTGAAGATCAGGGGCCAATATAAAATGTGTTGTATACTCATTAAGATGGCAATTCAGAAAACCTCAAAATGACCATTTTTATTTGAGCAGCTGTTTTAGTTTCTATGAAGAAACTGATTGAAAATAAGCTATTTTATATTTTAGTGAAGTGGAATGTCCAAAATAATTTATCGGCACTCCTCATATGTAACGATTGGTTTCAACTATTAAATCACAGACTCAGTGACATGGGTATTTTGCTAGGGCTAAGAAGAACAAAATGCTAGATTGCAGAAAATTCTACCTTTAGAATCTGGCTGCCTCTGAGAAGCACTATCAACAGGTAGAAGAACTAGGCAAAGCAGCTTGGGTTGCCCAGCCTCTCACTTCTATTTTCCTGGGAGCTTATTATCATCGCTTATATCACTGGGGGAGGGTAACTGATATGCTGTTGACAGTAATAAGTAGTAAAATCTTCAGGCTGAAGGCTGCTGATGGTGAGAGAATAATCTGTCCCAGATCCACTGCCACTAAACCTGGATGGGACCCCAGAGGCCAGCCTTGACGTGTAATAGATCAGGAGCTTTGGGGAATTCCCTGGTTCCAGCTGATACCAGTTTAATTCCCTGCTTATACCCTGATGACTCTGCAGGAGATGGTGATTGTGTCTCCTGGAAATGCAAAAAGGAAGGATGGAGACTGGGTCCTCTGGATGTCACATCTGGCACCTGGAATTGGAAACATTAAAGCAAATATCCACATTATTACTCATGTTATTACAGGACTTCCCTGAAGCCACGGGCATCACTGACCAGGGTGAGAGAAGTATTATCCTTCCTTACCTAGGAGACAGAGCAGCAGGAGATCCAGGAGATGAATAGCAGTCCTCCTGTCCATGCTGTGTGCTGACTGGGACTGGCTGCTGCACAGGTGTGAGCAGCTTATTATGAAGTCATTGTGGCAGTAGGATGTGATCTGGGCAAATGCAAATCAGCAGGGCTGGACAAAGATGGATATAGCTGCAAGGCTGGTTCATCTCAGGAAATCATCATAGGTCCATGGTGCCCATGTGTCTTAGTTTTAGACTAGAGAATATGATTCATTCAAACAGGACAAGTCACAATCAGTCTGCTGTCCTATGCGTAGATCTACTGGTTCCTGCAGGGGTGAGGACGTGCTTTTCTCAATTCTCTGTAGTGACTTTGAAAGGGATAAGATAATGGCAAAATGAATGTTTTATAGTCCGTATATGGACGAAAAAAATTATGGGAGAATAGAATTTCTGGACATTTTAAACTGGTTTAATATCTTTATGCATTGGAACATCTCACTGCCATAGCAAGAGATATAAGCTGTTTTTATGTCAGTCTATTCCAAAACACACATATAAACATAAAATAAAATGTGGATTGTAACTGGGCCTCGGTGGCTCATACCTGTAATCCTAGCTACTCAAGAGGCTGGGATCTGAGGATTGTGGTTCATAGCTAGTCTGGACAGGAAAATACACGAGAATCCTATCTCCAAATATCCACCAGAAAAATGGAAGTGACACTGTGGCTCAAGTAGTAATGCACTAGTCTTGAGCTAAGGAGCTCAGGGATAGCGCCTAGGCTCAGAGTTTGAGCCCCTCAAGCATCCCTCCCACCCCCAGAAATGTGGAATCTCCTTTAGATGAGGTATAAGGCTGAAGCAAATTTTCCCTTATTAGACTTTACTATGTAAATTATAAAAACTCTTAAAGCAAGGAAAGCAATTATAACAATGGCCTAAGTAAGCCATGTCCTGTGGTTTGATGGCTAAGGGGCTGAAACAAAAGATTGTTGCTACCAGAAAAGACCAAAATTACCTCAGTATTTGTGATATGTCACTATTTCCAGCTAGACATTTTAATCTTGGACTTAAGACCACAGGTTATCAATGTACATGCTATGTTTAATAATCTTACGATGACATACAATAATACAAAAAAAATGTGATTAATTTATCCAAAATCTGCTTCCTCATGTGGAACACTAATAATTAAGAAGCATGTAGTCTCACATGGAAGGTGGTCAGAACCAAATCAGTGAGTAAGAGAAAGGACGTTGAGACAATATCTTTATATATCATGATGTTTCTTTCTCATTGGTCTTCCAGCATTATGATATCTTCTCTGGGTATTCATTATGTTCTTACCCTTGCAAATAAATAGGATGATACCCAGACTCTTCCTTTCTGTCTGGGAATATTAACAATCTCAAAGCTAGATCAGGTCAGAGAAGCTGTCTGTAAAAATTATTGAGGAGAGCAAGGCATACTTAGAGCTCATCCTCCGAACCAGAAAAATTGCATTGGGCCAGAGGCATGTTAGAGCTTTTTCTACCTGTGAAGAGAATGAATTTCTACTGTCTCCAACTTCCACAGGCTGACTCTGGTGTTCCAGAGGTCTGCAGGTGAAGGGCCTGGATAAATCACTGGCTACATATATCAAGAGCCTATTGTTACAAGGTTGCCAGCCCTACCCATAATGATCTACACTGGATATTGGTGTGTAAATGCTGCCACCTGCTGGAAGGTATTGTCAAAATGAGGACAGCATGGTTTGGTCTAAGTCAGAGCCCCAGAGAAATCTACGTGTAGATGGTTTATGAAAAGACAGCATTGGGAAATGATAAATCATACAGGAATCTAAATATCTAAAGAAAATCAGACCAAAAGAGAATAATCTTAGGAGATAAACAATTAGGCAGAATGTCTACATGCCTCTTCATATTTATATAAAATTATATGTATATATTCATATATATCTAAATGAACTCAATGGTACAGAACAAAAGATCTGTCTTTCTTCTCTTAATTTTTGATGATTCTGTTTTATTCATGTATGGTAAATTCAAGTGTACATACTCAGGAGGGTTGAGGGAATACTGAATTGTATAAAATTCGAGGTAAAAATTGTGGATACGCGCAGCAGTGGTGCTCACTGGACATGGATGGAAGTGAACTACACAACTTTAAATATTTCATAGGTGGAGACATGAGGGCGGGACTGGGAGAGAGTGAGGGAACAGAAAAGATAGTACAAAATTATCTCATCATCCATAATCACTGTACTCATCTGATTCATATAATTATAATCCCTCTGTAATTCACCTTAATAATCACAATAAAATAAATAGTTTTAAAAGATGAGCAGTGCTTATAAACCTTGTGAGAAATGGAGAAAAACATAATGGAAAGACAAAATTTGCCATTGTGAGGAAGAAATCAGTTCCCAATGTATTAAAGATTTGACATAAGCAACTTTTCAAAGAAATCTGAGAGATCAGGAAACAGATGAACTCATAAAAATAAATTGCCATGAATTTAAAAAGAATAGCCAACATTGGGAATGATGCCCACTGTGGGTGGTCTTCAACTTAAGGAGAAATTCTTCACCTATTTTCATACACATAAAAAATACATATAGAGAAACATATATAGAGTCTATTAAGATGTTATTAAGGATGTTGATTACAAGGTTTTAAAAAATTCAAGCATAGAGTGAAATGTACGCTAAACATTATCATTACATCTAGATAAATCCATTGTAGGTTGGATATATTATTAGTAAAAAATGCATATAATACAAGCTGGGCACCAGTGGCTTGTATTACAATGGCTTCAATGGCCTATAATGTTAGCTACTCAAGAGGCTCAGATCTGAGGATCATGGTTCAAAGCCAGCCCAGGCATGAAAGTCTGTGAGAATTTTATCTCCAATAAACCAATTAGAAAACCAAAGAGGCACTTTGGATAAAGTGATAGAGAGCTTGCCTTGAGCTGAACAGCTGAGGGAGAGCACCCAGGCCGAGTTCAAGCCCCACCAATGACAAAAAAAAATGCATCTATTACAAATATCCTGCAGAACCATTTTAGGTAGCCACAATCCTTTACATGCCTCTGAATAGTTCCATTATTCTGCTAATGGGAAAATAAATCTAACAAAATCCTATCTTTATAATAATTGTATATTTACGATATACTGTTATGTAGTGTTTGTTTTGTCTTCTGATTAGGGTATATATATATATATATATGTATGTACATATATATTTATACATGGCTACTGGTAATTGTTGTTGGTACCTCTGAGTGGTATCAAGGAAGAGTATTACTACTATATATCAATCACCCATGGAAAGATAAGCATTGAAAATATGAATCTAGATTGGTACTGAGCACACACTGCTTTGGAGACAGTAGAAAGAAAAAAAGAATAACAATTATTGATCCATTGGAATGCAAACCATTGTAAGTTGAAGATTACCTATGTATAAGAAGTGTGGACCTCCAAATTATTTAAAATTGCTGTAAAACTTTTTAAGTTAAAATTTAGTGTTATAGATAATGAAGAAGAAATTAGTGTCTGAAAAAATATACATCAAACAAAATCATTAGTGGCTTATTACATTTTCATCAAATAGAAAGGGATGAAAAGATTTTGGACCACCTTTTAAAAGTCACAAAGATATAAAGTGAATTGATAGAGACAACATGTAGGGGTCAAACCAAATAATTTTGAAATAAGCTACTAGATAGTAAGGTCAGCTTCCCTTGAGTTGAAATGACTAGGAAAACTGGGGAATTTTGCCCACCTTTCTTCTCCTTGTTTATTACCATTGGAGTAATAAGCAAAGATGGGGTAACTGCAGGACAGCTTGTCTTTCCCCTATATTACAGTCATAATGGAATATCAGAAGAAAATGCAATAAAATATAAAAATAAGAACGTGAGAATTTCTGTTTCATTGGGCACAGGGAAAAGACAGTCAGGGGACTAACCCTATCTGTCCAAGGATTTGAAGCCTCAGTTTCCCTGTTATGTAACAGTTTGAAAGATGAGAAACATTTTGAATAGATAGAGAAGGGATCATGTCACACAATAATGTTCATGGTGAAGTTTATTTTCAAATACTCTCTAGATAGATTGTTCTACTCCATCTTCCCTTGACACTACATATTCTTCCATAGCTATGCAGGATCACAGCCACTGATGCAAACAATGATCATGGGAGAAAGCAGGACTGAGCAGAGAGGACACAGCAGCAGCAGCAAAATCTCTGACTCAATTTCTGTGAATTTTGTGATGGAAGCTGAAGTGCTGAGAAGGAAGTTTAGAAAACTGTGGAGAGTAATACTTAGTTATGTGAGTCACAGGGAGGCTGGTGATGGTCAGTGAGAAATCTGTCCCAAATACTCTCTATGGAACCCACCAGGTACCCAGACATCCAAGAAAATGGCCACTAGATGAGCATGATCTATTTCCTTCTGGTCCTAGGCTAAGCCATTCTTCTGGTTGGAACTCTTTAAAAGACTGGCTTGACTTGATGTTCCTGGTGACCACCTTTCCTATACATATAGTCTCAGAGATTAGAGGTAGAATAATCATCAATTCCTTAAAGAAACTTTCCATCAGCAATAGAAAATGGCCACACATTGCATCATTAAAATGTGTATGGGTAAGTGCTTTTCCAAAACATCAACGTTCAGACTAATATGGAAGATTTGCTTTATTCTATATGCCCCAAATCAAGA